CTTTCACATAAAACACCTTTACTCATAGCATGTTCATATTGTGTTAACAAGAATTACCTTCAATTCAACATAACAACAATAATACCAACATCTCACAACATTCATACTTGCATTGCATCTCATCATAACATGCTCAATTACCAACTAGGGTTAGAGGGAAGAGGGAACCATCATCCAACTTCATCATACATGAATTAAGCAAGTACATTCAACAATACATAAAGAATCACATTGATATCATCTCCTCATAGCCTTGAAGACCCCATTGAAGACTTAACCCTAATTCCATAGTAATCATACCTAATTTAGGGTAATATCATCATACAAACATGAATTACATAACATCACATTGAATTCATAGCCTTCAATTAATATCTAACACAAACTAGGGTTAGAATTGGAGAAAGAAGGGGAAACATGGGTCTCATGGGGGATTCTTCAAAAAATCACCAACACTACATAAATTCATCCATAATTGTTCATATATCATCAATAAATATCAGCTTATAACAATAATTCAACATTTAGAAAGAATACCCACGTTTTTGGATTGAAATCTACAATTTGGGGGATTTTGAAAATCATCTTGAGTTAGACCTCCCGGTCCTTGGTGCTCGGCTTTAACTTGTTGGAAATTTGAGCACCTAGCCCCAAAATTTGCTATGTCTCTTTTCATTCCGTTCCACCAATAAATCTCATGTAAGTCACGATACATTTTGGTGGCTCCCGGATGGATGGAGTATCGGGACCCATGGGCCTCCTCTAGGATTGTCTCTCTACGGCCTTCCACATCCGACACACATAACCTCCCTTAGTGCCTAAGCACCTCATCTTTTCCTTGAGAGAAAGTTTCTATTGCTTTGTTGAGAACCGACTCTTTTAGTTCCATCAAAATAGGGTCAAGATGTTGCTTAGACTTCACGTCAACAACAACCGATGACTCAAAATTATGACGCACCACGACACCTTCATTTGGGGATTCTTTAAGTCAGACACCCAACCAGGATAACCTATGTACATCACGGGCTAACTCTTTTTTTTATTCTTCCACATGTG